GGGTGTGCTTCCGCACTCCTTCAACGAGATGAAGAACATGACGGGACTTTCATGATTCAAGGCCTAGATCAAGAGGTTCTTCAAGTATAACAAGCTAAGGAATGGATTAGTCACATTTTTGAAGCTTTGGAAGGTTCAAAGTTGGAGAAAATTGAGAGGAAATGATGTTGAGTGTTGCCTAGGTGTTAAAGGAATGAAAGGAAGGGGGCTACCCTTTATATAGGGGTAAAGGTGCTGCCCAAAAGTGAGTGTGTTGCCAAGGGAGTGGGTGTGCAGCCGCACACCCGTGTGTACGGTCGTACACTCCTCCAAGAGGTGTGTATGGCCCAATTTTTCACTATTCAACACTCCGACTCATTCCTAAACTCGACCTTGGTCATACTCAAGCTTAGAATCACTTAAACGAACCCTCAAACAATGCTAGAAGTCAACGAAACATGTTTAACTTTGATTGAAATGGCTAAGTGTGTGAGACAGAAGTTTCAGGTTGTCACACACTACGTAAAAAAAATCGTGCAACTACTAAAAAAATTTTGTGCAACTAGCCAACTACATAAAAAAAAATATTGTCACTGTATCAATTACCAAATGAAAAAATTAATAACGAGCCCAAATTCCCAATGTTTTAATCAATTATTTTCTAATAGTCCAATTGCCCAAAGCCCAAAATAAAACTTAATTGGATAAATTAGCAATCAGGCTAATTGCTTGTAAAAAAATTTGCCCAATCCTAATTAATTGAGTATTATCGGTTGAAAAAAAAACACGATTACAGAATCGAAATTAGACTACTCGACTTCCTGATTTGCGTCCAAAAATCCTTCGACCAATCGACCATTAGACCTTCGATCGTGCCTTGCCAGATTCGTGACCTCACAATCGTTCATCCTTGATCGATTTCATTGTTGGATCAATCACAATCCTTGATCAATTTCAACAATTCTCTTGAAGACTTGAAGCAAGTATCGACCCTTTTCTGTCTTTTTTCAATTTCTACTATTTTGGTTTATTGGTTGACAAATAACAAAACCTACTTCAAAGTTCAAACTTCAAAGCCCTACACAACAATGAAACAAGTAAGTTCTACTACCAATTCATTTAAATATTTGAAATTGATATGTTTTTTGAAGTTATTGATTGACTTGGGTGAAATTGATTTGTTTTATTGAAGTTATATTGTTTGCTTAGTTGCAATAGCTATGTTTTTTTATTGAATTGATTGTTTGATTAGGTGAAATTGATATGTTTTATTGAATTTATTGTTTAATTAGGTGAAAGCAACTTGTTTTATTGAAGTCATTGTTTGATTAGGTGTAATTGTTATGTTTTTATTGAATTTATTGTTTGATTAGGTGAATGCAACTTGTTTTATTGAAGTCATTGTTTAATTAGGTGTAATTGACTAATTGTTATGTTTTTATTGAATTTATTGTTTGATTAGGTGAAAGCAACTTGTTTTATTGAAGTCATTGTTTGATTAGGTGTAATTAACTAATTGTTATGTTTTTATTGAATTTATTGTTTGATTAGGTGAAAACAACTTGTTTTTATTGAAGTCGTTGTTTGATTAGGTGTAATTGTTATGTTTTTATAGGTTAAACTAAATGTTTTTTTTTACCAAAAGACAAAGACCTAATCCTAATGAAAGTGGTGAAGAATGTTCCCAAATACCAATCACCAATCAATCAATCCCTTCCGTTTCTAATCCTAATGCAACTCCACAAACACCAATCACTAATCAATCAATTGCTTCGGTTTCTAATGCAACTCCACAAACACCATGCTCTAACCAACCTAATGATAATGTTGACTTGAAAGATCTTCCAAAGGACCCAACGGATAGGTCATTGATTACAAGTTACAAACCAAATATAAGAGATGATATAAGAAGAGCATATTTGCTTCAAGGACCGTGTCAAGTAAGGGAACATAAGTTTCCTAAAAAAAATAGGTGATAGATTTAGAAGATTCGTTCCTTCATGGTTTGATGACTTTGATTGGTTGGAATATAGTGTAAAAAAAAATAGTGCATATTGTTTATATTGTTATTTATGTGGGGACCTCATGGGACAAAAAAGAGGGAGAGATGCATTTGTTTCCCAAGGTTTTGATACTTGGAATAAAAAAGATGCATTTCGGACTCATGTGGGTGGTGTTGATAGTTTTCACAACAAAGCAAAAGAAAAGTGTGAGTTTTTAATGAGGAAAAAAACAAGCTATTAATATCGTCTTGAGGAGGCAAACCGAAGTAGAGGACCATAAATATAAAGCTCAATTACGTGTTTCTATTATTGTGGTTAGACTTTTATTGAAAACCGGTTTACCGTTTCATGGTCATGACGTCGGTTAACTCAGAAAATAAAGGGCTTTACATTGAAGTGTTAAAAGCCATTCGAGAGACTAGTGAAGATATTTTCAACAATATTTTCAAAAATGCTCCTAAAAACAATCAACTTATTTCCCCTAAAATTCAAAAAGAACTTGTGCAATGTTTTGCACAAGAAGTACTTTTAAGTATTTGTGAAGAGATTGGTCAAGATGTTTTTGCTTTACTAATTGATGAATCTAGTGATGTTTCAAAAAAGGAACAAATGACTATTGTTTTGCGTTATGTCGATAGTCTTGGCTTTGTGAAAGAAAGATTCATAGGACTAGTGCACGTGAAGGATACATCTTCTTTGACACTCAAAAACGCCATAAATGAAGTACTTACAAGTAATAAGTTGAGTTTTAGTCAGGTAATTTATTCTTTACTTTTTTGTTATTTCAATTTAATTATATATATATATATATATATATATATATATATATATATATATATATATATATATATATATATATATATATATATATACACACACACACATTAATTGTTTTAAATTTTAATAGATAAGAGGACAAGGTTCCAATGGGGCTAGCAATATGCAGGGGGAATTCAATGGTTTGAAAGCTTTGATATTACAAGGGAATGACACGACTTTTTATGTACATTGTTTTGCACACCAGCTTCAATTAGTAGTTATGGTTGTAGCAAAGAAGCATGATGGTGTTAGTGACTTTTTTGAGCAAATTTTGTTGGTGGTTAATGTTGTTTGTGCCTCGTGTAAAAGAAAAGACTTACTACGAGAGCAAGCAAGAGAAAGGGTGCAAAAAAGCTTGTGTAGTGATGAACTTGAAACCGGAAGAGGGTTAAATCAAGAGACAACACTTGTTCGAGCGAGAGAAACAAGATGGGGTTCACATTTCAACATACTTACAAGTTTTGTGAAAGAGGAGGGAGGGTCATTGGCAAACCGTCAACAAGCATCTGGAATCTTAGCATATTTTAAATCATATGAGTTCGTGTTTTACTTACATGTGATGTATGACATTTTACACCTCACGGGTAAATTGTCAAAGCAACTTCAAAGAAAAGATCTAGACATTTTAGAAGCGGCTTCGATGGTTAGAGGGACAATGTAGGCATTGCAATCTTTTAGAAACATAGGGTTTGCTAGCATTTTGCCAAAAGTATCATCTTTTTGTCAAACACACGAAATTGATACTTTAGATATGAAAGAGTTGTATAGTGGTGCGAGAAAACGTAGGACTACAAAGACTAATAGGTTTCATTTTGAGGTTGAAATCTTCAACACGGTGGTAGATATGCAACTTAACAGAATATCGGGATCGATTTAGTGAAACAAGCATCCAATTACTAGAATACATGGGTGCTTTGAGCCCTTGTGATTCATTTGCACAATTTGGCAAATCAAAGTTATTGAAGTTTGGTAAGTTATACATGCATGACTTTGATGATTCAGATATGATAGACCTTGAAGGACAACTTGAGATATTTTATCACTCTTGCATCAAAGATGAGCGCTTCCCTAATTTGAAAGGAATTTCCGACCTTTCTCGTTTGATGGTTAGTATGGGGAAGCATCGGTCTTATCCTTTGATTTATAAGCTTTTAAAGTTGACTTTGATATTACCCGTAGCAACCGCAAGTGTAGAAATATGTTTTTCAAAGATGAAGCTCTTGAAGACCAACTTGCATAACAAAATTGGCGATGATTTTTTGAACGACGCATTGCTTTGTAATGTCGAGACCGAAACACTTGCGAAAGTTGAGAATGAAAAAATAATGGAGCGGTTTCGAAAGATGTCTGCACGAAGAGGACAAATTTAAATTCTAATAGATCGTTGTTATATTATGTTTAACTAGAAAAAAAAATTTTGTATTAGATGTTTTATATTATGTTTGAACGGATTTTATTTTTAATGTTTTATATTATGTTTGACCGGAAAAAAAAAATTGTGCAACCTCTACTACTAATTCCTGCATCCGCCTCTGCGTGTAATACACATGTTTTACACCTAATGTCCATAATAAACATGTATCTTTAGTTAAGATTATACCTATATTAAGAAATGAACATGTTTATTATATAGTTTGATTGTATAATTTAGTTTCATTTTGAATATGAACCTGAACATAACTAACAAATGTAAATTTTTTGCTATTAAATAAATGATCCTAACTTGCATTTACATCTTAAGCCCAACTCATACATATGAAAAATATGATATCTTAATATACAAATTCATTTACACCAACTTTTTTATACATAATGAAAGTTGAAAATTAATACCAGGACTTATCAGATGTAATCGTTACTTGTTAACATAATATAATCTGCACATACTTATTACATCATGTAGGTTTCGATACCATACAATTGATCATGGTAACATATACTTTTACTCTTTTCCATCAAAGCTACTCTTAACATAACAACCAATTACCATACCTTGTTCAGCATATACAAATGTGTATTTTACTTAGTCTCTCATATAAAATCATTCATGGAATTATTTTTCTTTTTGTAATTATTTCCAAATATTATTATGATTTAAGCTGGAATCATGGTTTTAATAACTTCTCAATTCCATATCAAACTTTGTTGACACTTTCACCCATTACAGCAACAATTAAGCAGATATGAGCCATTCCAGAGGTAAGTAAATAATCACCATTCAAAAAGTTAAAAAAAAAAAAGTGGTACAGATAAAGTACTTCACTACAGAGCCAAAATCTTAAGCAACGGAACAAGTAACCAAAACACAGAACTAAAATAAGTCACATTCTACAAGGATTCACAAACAATTAGTAAATTCCAGAAAAACATCTGTATAATTACAATTAGTAAATTCTATAACGAAGTCAAAGTCAATTCCAATTTAAAATCGTATAGTCACCCTATGCTTTTGGCACTCATATCTCATCTGCATGCATTAAAACCCAGGTTCAGTCACCAGATTGTATAAAAAAGACAAATATACCTATTTAGCTTAACATCAATACCATCAGCTTTAGCATTACCTTTATCTTAACAATCTTATTTCTAACTTCTTCCAATTTCTTCAAAACTTCTCCTGGAGTCCTGTCCAACTCATCACCAATTTTCCTGTATATCCAAGGGCAATGTCGGAAATTGTTCACACAGGTCTCCATCAATCACATCCTGCACAAATAATCCCACATTTTATGGTGTCACAAACATAAACATATACTTTATAGAGTAACGTTTTGAGTGTTTCTTTCCTTTGTAGTAAAATGACTATTTTTGGTCCCCGGATATATCTGACTTTTGCAATTATGGTCCCAAAAATAGTGTCATTTTACTTGGAACAGGGACCTAAAATGTAATTTACTCTATTTTTTATAATTATAAATAAAAATTAAAATGATTACCTTTACAGGAAAATAAGCAGATCTATATGCCATATGGTCTCTCCCCCACAAAGGTGGATGCTCCTCTCTCATATGCATCTCCAAATGTGAAAAGAAGTCCACATCATCACGCGAGCTAAATGCCAATAATGCCCCTAGACTACCCATGACAGTTCCATACATGACACACTCCACTCCACCTGGAATCAAAGATGCTTTCTGCAAACACGTGACCACATCACCAACATGAAATTGAACAATCTCCTCAACTTTATTCGGGGCTCCATTAAGGGTGCGTTTGGTTGTGGAAAATTTTCCAAGAAAAATGGAAATTTTGAAAACACGTTTGGTTCGTTCAGTTTTCCAAAATTTTCTAAGAAAATGAAAATTTTCAGTTTTCCAAATTATATGTAAGTTAGAAAAGCAAGTTTTACAGTTTTCCAAATTTATAAGGTGGAAAATGAAAACTCCACCACTTCCAACCAAAAGCGTTTTCTAAAATTTTCATTGAAAACTAAAACTTAAAACTCAACTCTATTTTCTGAAAACCTTTTCTAAGAAAATGAAAACAGTTTTCCACAACCAAACGCACCCTAAGCTTCCCTTGTTCCCATTTAATCTTCCCACCAGTTGGATCTTCTTCAATCTCATCTGAAACATCTTGTGGCAAACAAACAAAGTAAATGTTCCCAAATTTGTCTGCACCTGCCATGGTGTCAAAGTCCACATGGTATGCTGCTGTTAGCCACCTTGGAACAGAGTCATCAGCAAATACATACAGCTGGTTTTCATCGCATCTGTATTTGCAATAGTGAAATGACTGAAACATAAAGAAAAACAAAAGAAACATTCATATGTCAGAAAAAAATAAAAATAAATAAATAGATAAAGTTGAACAAGAAACCTCTTGAATGTCTCCCACATAGATTCGATCACGGTACGTATGAATGGAATTGATTGTGTTTGGAAACAACTTGTTTCACATTTTCTAAGCAGTCTTCTTTTCCCTTAATCATAAAGCCTGAGAATAGATCCGATTCCAGCAAGCAATCTTCCTTGAAACTGACACAAAGCAAGTGGGACCCCATCAACTTGTGTTTTATGTAAAAGTTCAAGTGATCTTCCATCTTTTACAAATCTATAAATATGAATATATCCAGCAACTAAAGATTTTTTAGGCCAAAACTGCAAACCCTTTGCTGTCCCCACAGCTAAAAGTGTCCCATACTCCTTATCATGAAAATTCACAGTACAAAGACTAAAAGCTGCTTCATCATCTTGAAGCTCCAATAAACAAGTAGTTTCAGTTGACTTTGGGTCAAGAACCCTAATACAAGATACCCATTTATCCGCTTCAGCTTTCGGGTACCCGTATTGCTCATCGGATAACGGGTCGTCTTTATCTTCATCATCATTACCGTTTTCAATCTCCATTTTACCATTTTGCCCTTGACCCGCTGCTTCAAAACACTCCTTTTTCGCACTTTCACGTAATTCTGCCGGAAACGCCCCTTGATCACTTTCAATTGTCACCAAAAGTTTCTTTTTAGGATGAAACACAAATTTTCTTGGAGTGTACCTTAAGGGAATAGCAGTTTCATTAAAAGTTTCACCTAATCTTTCGATTGTGAAAACCCTTAAAGCATCACCAGCAACCGCAACAACACCTTCAGCACATTGATCGGATGAAAAAGAAGCTGCATATTCTAGGGTTTCATATGAAAGAGGGGTTAAAAGAAAGTGACCCTGGTGAACATAACCTAACCATGGTCTACTAGACAAACAAAGCATAGCACGTCTCTACATCAGGGTCAGCTCCAACAGCTTGGAATTGATACAAAGCATGATTCCCAAATTCTGATGCAGCAAATAGAAACCCTAGTTTCAGGGCACACATTGAAGATGAGACGGGTATGGTATCAAAATACTTTATTTTTAACTCTGTAACTCTTTCGTTATCATGATCAAGTGTGACCTTGAAGACATCCCCATACTCGGTTTGGAGAAGAAGAACATTGACTTTTGTTTGTGCATAGTGGCTGAAACTATAAGAACCCCACGTTCAGCAGGAAGATCTGCCTTTCTAGGAATCACTGCCCGAACATCTGGATGACCTTGATTCTTGTAGATGACGAAATTTTCAGCACAAACAAGAGCACCACTTGGACCATCACCACCACCAGAGACAGTTACCAGCATGTTAGCACCATTATCAACTTGCTCAGACCATTTCCTTGAAACATGATTAAGCCCCAAATCTAGTTCATAGAAGGTAAGATGTTTTTGAGCCTAGTTTGCAGCTTGACCGGTGGAATCCTGGTCAGCCTCTGAATAATTCAACTCTATAGCAGCAAATATAGGAGTATCGAACCCACAATCAACCCCCACGATCGAGTAAGTAATTGTGTGTGACTTGTGTGCCTCTAATGGCGAAGAAATAGTTAACCTAGCAGCCGTATCTCTGTTAAGAACATAAACGAGCTTTTGCTTTTCACAAGCACCAAGCAGCGCGACCTTTTGGGTCACTTGCTAAATACTGCCCAGGGACGATTCTACGACTTCCAGATTTCCCGAAAGTTTCCTGATGAATTTTGTCGAACACATTTTTCTCCTTGTTATATTCGAGAATGACGATGCGACCAGAGTCGGAGCCGACAACGATGTAGTCGTTTTGGGCACCGGTTAACCTAAACTGAGCTAGGGATCTAATAGCACCAAAAACATCAACGGAGAGAATAGTTTGGATCTTACCGTTTTCGTCGGGGCGCGGGAGTTCAAGGACTTTTCCACGGGCGACGACTATTTCTTGGGATTTGTTACCGCCGGAGAAGCTGCCGTTGATGGCACATACGATGCCGGTGGCTTATTGGAGGGTGAGATTGTAGAGATACATGGTAATGGGTTGCTAAAACCCTAGATTGAGAGGAAGTAGGGAGACCAAATAGAAATCGAGAGAAAGAGGGGGACGGGGGTTTTAGAAGTTAGAACCTATGAGTGTCAACCAACCCATCTCCATGATTTAAATTCTAGAAATTTCGAAAAACAACGAAAAATGGGGCGGTTTAAAGAAAATAATCAAGAAAATTTAAGTTTTGTAAAACAGAGCACTCTGCGGACTGCGGATCCTCCCCACCTTTGCGGATTTGACGTGGAATCGAGTTTTCTGCGGATTTCACACGAAAATACCCCTTTCTTTACACAACTCCGCAGAAGGAGGCTAGGGCAGTCGATTCGCAGACGTCGAACGGAAACAAAAATGTCACGGTGAGCTCGATTCGTGGAGCAGATGCACTCTCCGATGTGTTATCCGATTGATATGGAACTCAAGTAATATTTCAATTTTTTTTCCTAATCTTTGTATAAACTTCGAAGTTGAAATTGATTATATATATGAATTGGAAATCGATAATTATATATAAACATGTATGTTTGTTAGGGTGGAAGGACTGGAATCGAAGAAATGAAATCGATTTATCCACTGTTTTTCGTCATGAACAGATCAGTAGAGGCCATCTGCTCAAGAACAGAGCCGTAGAGGAGCCCTCTGCGGAACGACAATGGTCTCTGCAGAACCTTTTTTTTTCTTTTCGATTTATTAATAATTATCATCTTTTAAAATGGATTATTATCTTGGATCATTGAATATTGAGATCATTTCCAATTATTTATGTAATTTAAAAAAAAACATTGAAATTTTCTATAATTATTATCTCTTAAAATGTACCATTGAATATTAAGATCATTTTCAATTATTTATGTAATTTGAAAAAAAAAAAAAAAAAAACATTGAAATTTTCTATAATAATTATTAAAATTGACCATTTATGTCAATTTTATAATATATATGGAACCATTTTTGTAAAATTCCGTAAATTTGTTATAAAAAGGGACATTTTGTTGCATAAAATTGTTAAAAAGAAACAATATATAAGTGCAATACTATAAAAATAAAAGTACGATGCTATTTAAAGTTACTTTTCAGTATTGTTTTTAAAATTTTGGCATATATGTTTTATCTTTTGCAGCATAGTTTGCGTGGATGGGCTGCAGAATGTACTTTTAGAGGAGCGTTGGGACTGTGTTGAAAAAGTACATTACAAAACTAAATACTAGGCGACTTGAATTATTTCGAGAGACAACTTTTGGGATCTTCATTAGTATCCCCATCCCGCATGGTGACCTGATGCTTTGTCATTTAATGATGTTGCATGAGGTTCATGATGTAGAGGTAGCCAAGGTTGGGAGGTTTCGGTTCGAGTTACAAGGCAGGGTGGTTGAATACGGTAAAACGGAATTTTGTTTGATTACCAGTTTAAGATTTGGATCGTATGTTGATATAATAAATACAAAAGTCAGCACAAGTTCAGCATTAAGGAATCGGTTGTTCCCTAATGTGAGAGATGAAGATTTACGGCTGAAAGATTTAGAAGACTACATAAAATGGTCAGCATTCTCGATGTGTAGCGATGAGGATGCGGTAATGGTTATGCAAATGGTGTTTTTGTTGACGAGTCTCATAGGACGAAACGACAATACGTGCATTCCGCCGACAGTGTATGAGCTAGCCGATAGTCAATATAATTGGAACAGGTATTAAATTTATTATTTATTATTTATTTATAAATATTTGATGATTTATATTAATTATAATGAGTACGACAGGTTTGTGTGGGGTGCGTATTTGTGGAGCTATAGTGAAACACAATTACGATTAGGGTTTGGTCAAATCTATAGATATTTACGAGATAATGAGAGTGTGGGTTACGTGAAGATGATGAAGTATACGATGACCAGTTTTCAGCTTTCAGCTAAGGTTAGTTTTAGGTGTAATTACTTATATTTTTTAAGTGCTTATAAGTTTGGACAAAGCATAATTTTTTGTCGTAATACTAGGTATGGATTTTGGAGACATTTCCAGAAGCTTTGAGGTTTGCGCATCAAACCGAAAATGAAATTCCAAGAATGAGAGCATGGAGAATAAAAACACAATTATCTCTCGAGCAATGTTTACATATATTAGACGTTTTAGTGGTATAGTTATACATTCCTTATATTAATCATATATATTTAAATATTACAACAATTTTATATACCTAGATTTTTTTTTTATTTTGCATGAAAATAACATCCCACGTGTTTTTGAACCAACGCCTATTGAGATCAGTTTGCCATTCTTTGTGCGTTATGTAAGTTGGACTCTAAACAAAGTGCAGTCGCCACCGCAACAACAGAGTCCTCTTAAGGAGTGATCTCCATCACCGCAACAATAGAGTCCTCATAAGCAGCAGTCTCCATCACCTCACCCGTCTCAGTTTCAGGTAGCAGACTACACCTCAGGTTCTCATTTTCGAGGAGCAGATTACACCTCAGCCTCTCATTTTCAGAAAACATACCACATACTTGTAGAAGACAGTAAAATAGTCAAGTTATTGGGTGTTGTTACTGAATTGAAAACCACAATCGAGCACTTTAGGAAGAGAATGGATAATTGAGGAAAAAGATAAACAATTTGGTGTGAACGATATGGAAAATGTGGATGCGAGGGAAGCATTTTTTCGTAGTTTGTATCCCGAGTTAGGCCATACGTATGTGCACACGCCACCGTCTCTTGTTGAATTTAAGGATAACACAGTTACACCGTTTAAAGGGTGGATAAAAATGAAATCGAAATTTTGTAGGGAGCCTTACACACAAGTATAAAATTAAGTAATTTCTATTTATATACTATATAATCGTTCCAAATTAATTAACATATTGATTTTGTAGGTTCCGTCGACGGAACCATTGAAGAACAGAAATGGGAAAAAACCGCAGAAGTCCAATAATGTAGCAAAAAGACCATTACTATTTGACAGTTATGTAGATTGTGATGATGAATTTTGGAAATTGTGGGGAAAGAACATGGGAGCGATATTTGTGGAGCATAGACTTTTAAGAGGTATTGAGATGAATTGTGAATTTTGTTCAAGTTTGCTTGGTTTTGGCTCTAGATGGTTACTCTATGAGGTAACACACATCCCTTATTTTATATTACAAAAAGTGTTGGATAATTAATTGTACAAAATGATTTTTTTTTCTAACATGCAACATTTGTTTATCTGGGCGTCCCTGCTCAAGGAAATAAATTCGTCGACTGGTAGGTGGGCGCTTATTAATCCTAAAGGCACGACTGTGGAACTTGGGAAGCAACATTATTTGAGGCGTGTAGCAATCGGGATGGTTGATGGACCACATTGGAAGGATATTAATCGAGTTAGTATATAAATTTATATATATCATATAATATAATATTATATATATATATATATATATATAGAGAGAGAGAGAGAGAGATAGATAGAGATAGGTTCAGGTGTTTAAAGTAATTATATTGTTATTGTATGCATAAATGTGGACCAATCATTTTAAAAACCTAGATAGGGGTAAAATTGTAATCTTAGCTTTTAATTAATTTTGGTAATTAATTATTCAAATCATAAACCTTTTAATTGAGGCAAATTCGTTTACATTTACCGCTTTAAAACCCTAGACAAAAACATCGACCTTTTACAATCAATCAAAGCTCAGATGAAAGGTGAAGAAAGGTCAAGCTCTAAAGTTGTAGAGATCATTGGCAGCTCCAGTATCGATTCAATCCAACAAGAATCCGAAGATTTTCTGTGATCTGCAATTAGCTTCTTCAAATTGAAGCCCAACAACCTAATTTATTCGATCTCCTCGAGGTAATTTCAATTTCGTTGTTACTTAGTGGATTCAATTGACTTTTGCTGTCAAATCTCTACTTCTGATTTCAAAATTGGTATAAATCTCCACTCATTTGAAATATGTTGTCATAGACCCACGGATCCTTGCCAGAAGTCATCATCTTTGTTTCTGCGTTTCTAACTTCCACTCCTTCGTCAAAATCCTAAAGGTACACATGGTATGGGAGTCCATATGTCAAGATGGATATGCCTCATGGTTATCATTTATCAATTCAAGACATGGTACTACTAGGGTATATGTGTATTTTCATTCCTTGTCTTCTCAATAAAACATTCACTGAATTGAGGTGTACACATCAGCTTTTATGTATACTGATTTGAAAATGATTTTGTACAAGAGTTTAATCAGTTGTTCCCTGTAACACTTTTATCTCTTTGAATCCCAAGTGTTATTGCTCTTCTGAACATACTCATAATAGAAAGATGTAGCTACCATAAGGGATGTTTCTCCTTACATGCTACGCAATCTTCATCTCTGGTGTGTATGTGTGTGCACGTCTATATATCCCTCTTGACCAGCCTTGAAAATGTAAATCTTGAAGTAAAGCATGGCTAAAAAATGCATTTTGTTGGTCAGCTGGTGTTGGAAAGTCCTGTTTCGGTTGTGATTAGGGCAAGAAGAAAGATGTAAGAAATCCAAAAAAGTTGTATCATTCATGTATTCAGGGAAATGGGAGATGATTGCAACATATGATTTGATTGATATATATATATATATATTATGAAGTTTTGTAGCCTACTATCGAATCATAGAAGCAAGGTAGCTTACATACTTGCAATTTATGTTATTTTCACTTCAGGTCTGTTAGAATTTGCAAATTAACAATCTTTTGGTGAAATTTGTCATAGAGTTTATTATGATGCATGACAGGTGTTTGTGGAAGTTCCTGAAAAATAATCCGACCATACCATGTGGTATTCATTCTGTCAGATTTACTAAAATTTTGTGTTATTTATTTGTCATGCAAAAGCATTCTCATAGAATATTATTATTACATAATTTGATTCATGGCAGTTATTTTCGTAAAATGTCTAATTTCATTGATGATCAAGGGTTTGAAGATTAGATAATGGTTGAATAATTGTCACTGGTCTTCAAAAAGGAAAGAGCTATTCTTCTGATAGAATAATCTACAATAGAATGATAGGAGCATATGTAATAATATATTATGCTAGAATATTCAGCTCAAATAATATACATGGTTTTGTTTGTCATTAGTGAGTATTTCATTGTCATAGACTATTATATAAAGTTTTTACATTTTTAAGAATGTAATGAAAAATTTGAAGTTGTATCCGAAAATTTATTATTAGTCGGTGTTGGCATTCTAATAGAATATCATTCTAATAGAGAATATATATCCTGAAATTCCTAGAGAATATAATTCTAAGAGAATAACATTCTAACAAAATAAAATCGTGTTTAATTATAAAAATTATGTTATAATTAAAATTAAAATAATTAAAAAAATTAGAATTTTGAAATCAAGAGAGCAAATTATCCCAAAAAAAATATGGAATTTTTCTTTTTTAAGTTTATCTCAATTGTCTAAAATACCCTTATAATGAAATTAGATGGTATTTTTTAATTATCTTTAATTTAATAATATGTATTAATCACTTTCTTAAAATAAGTAAAATGATTGGCCCACATTTATGCATACAATAACACAATAATTAGTTTAAATAAAATAACCTAAGCCTATATATATATATATATATATATATATATATATATATATATATATATATATAGGTTCAGGTATTCAAAGTAATTATTGTGTTATTGTATGCATCAATGTGGCTAATCAAAATTAAATAATAAAATAAATAAATAAGGGTAATTTAGTAATTTGATTAGTAACTTCAAAAAATAATCCTTATAATCATGGTATTCACTTATAACCTAAATAAATAAGCGTGTCTTCCTCAATCTCCCACCCGATAAAGCCCTAGCATCCTACAGGGTATTGACGCTTTAAGATCGTGTTCGGAAACCCTCACTGATCATCCAAAAATAATCGATGGCGAAAGGCTTAATAGTGAGGGTATTTTTGCTATTTTAAAAAGATTTTACAAGGGATTAGGTTTAAATCACATCCTATCGTCATTTGTTGAACGGGCAAGGGACGAACGTCTGCACTCTGCAAGCAGACAAATGAATAGAGGGAAAAGTTAAGGCTCGTCGGCGCTACTTCCTAGGGATGAGATTTATAACCGGAAAACCGGACTGGAATCGGAATCAGACCGGAACCGGAACTGTTAGAACTGGAATATATAGAACCGGTTCCGGTTCCGGGTTTAAAAATTGGCTTTATCCGCGTTCTGGGTAATTCGGGTTTGGGTCCATCGGGTCCGGGTAAATCGGGTCTAAAAACCGGAACTGGTGTTTGGAACCGGAACCACTTTTAGGGTCGGAACCGATTTTTTTGAAATGCTTAAAAGATGCATATCTCATTCGTTTCAACTCCGATTGATATCCGGTTTTTTCCAATATGTAGTTTAGAGTCTGTACATGATTTTAGAATATAATTTTGTCATTTTTGGTTTTATATTCATTGACTTACACTCCTCCAAAGTCCAGATATCAAAGCTGGAAGTTTTTAGTTTTTTAGTTTTTTTTGTATTCGGTGAAAGTTTTAAAACATTCATATCTAATTCGTTTGAATTCGGATTGACATGTGGTTTTTTTCAACATATAGTTCAGAGTTTATACATGATTTTAGACTATAAATTTGCCATTTTTAGTTTTAAATTCGTTGACTTAGACTCCCCCAAAGTCGAGATATCAAAGCTGGAAGTTTTTGGTTTTCTGTTTTTTTTTTTTTTTTTTTTTTTTTGTATTCGGTGAAAGTTTTAAAACATGCATATCTAATTCGTTTAAAGACCGATTCACATGTGGTTTTTTCCAACTTGTAGTTTACAGTTTGTACATGAGTTTAGACTATAATTTTGTCATTTTTGGTTTAATATTCATCGATTTACAATCCTCTGAAGTCGGGATATCAAAACTGAAAATTTACAACTTTTCAGCTATTTGTTTTTGTAATTTGTATTCTATGAAAATGTTAACACATGCATATCTCATTTGTTTAAAGTCGGATTGACATACGGTTTTTTTCCAGAGTGTATTTTAGAGTTTGTACATGATTTTAGACTATAATTATGTTAATTTTGGTTTCTTACTCAATGAGTTACAGCCCCCCAAAGTCGGGATATAAATATGAAAATTTTCAAAATTCAACCCATTAAGTAGTAAGTAATTACCAAAAAATTCCGTTTTTCCGGGTCTAAACCCACTTTATCCGATTCCAACCTACCCACTTTGATGTTTCCGGGTTTTCCGGTTCTAGACCCACTTTACCCGGAACCGGTTCCTATATACCGGTCCGATTTCCGGTTCTATAAAATCCCGTTAACCGGTTCCGGGTTTTCCGGGTCCGGGTCCATCTGGTCCGGGTTTGGACCCACTTTCTGATGGGTTTTGGTCATAAGACATCCTATGTGCTCATACAAACCCTAATGCTTGGATCTAGGTTTCTCTATTGTACATGCTTTGAATCCAAGACTATAAATCCTAATTCTAGCATATGGAAATCAATATTGACATATAATTAGGTTTAAGAACATACCTTGATTGTTATGTAGTAATAACAATCCCAATTCCTCCTTGAATTGACTTTGGAAGGCTGAGAGTCACAAGTGTCACTCCTCTAATGGCTTACAAACACCATAAGCAAGTGGAGAAGGTATAAAGAGAGAGGAAATTGGTAGGAATTCATCCTTAGATGCTCTAGGGATCAAGTGCACGAATTCTAAGGCCTTAGGGGTCTTTATATAGGGTTGGGATTAGGGTTTCAGTCCTTATCCTTATCTAGTTACTTGCCCATCAAGCAACCATAAGATAAGTCTTAGAAAAACCCTTATCTCTTGGCCTTGAACGATTTCAAGGATATCCTTATCCTTGAATTCGTCCATCCTTTAACAAGGATAACCATTGCCCTATTTTGTAACTATCACATAATTACAATTCAGCCCCTCTAGTTTAATTAATTACATTTGATCACAAAATTAATTCTTAATTAATTATTAACCAATATTAATTAAACAAATATGATTTCTCCTTTAATATATTATTCTTATAACATATTAATAAATCATAATAACCTCTCTCTCTTTATTTATTTCTCCAATCAAGTTGCTTTGGTGAAGGCAACCCAAAAGGACCATGCACCATCGGGTCAAGTACATACCAAAATAGTTATGGACTTAGACACTAATCCAACAGTCTCCCACTTGGATAAGTCTAACAACTATTCTGCGTATGACTTTGGATCCTGATTTGCAATCGTAGCTTTCCAAAGCCGCTGTCAACTCTGATCATATCAAATATGTGTGTCCTTAGATAAGGGATCATATATTCCTCCATTCTAGATATCATATGAGATATGATTTCAAATCATTCTCTTTGTACTATATCTCGATTCCCGATTTATGACGACTGACTAATTGAACAAATCAAATTAGCCCTAGCCCGACCGAGCATTTACGTTTGTCATCATTAAACCATCGAAGGGCCCAAAGATATCGCCTTTATCCTACTTTGAATAAAAGGAACGGATAAACTTTGATACAATGCTTGCTTGCACTCACTAACCAAATCACACACAACAATATGTTTTATAACACCAAGTTACTAGTGCGTTTACATAATATCAATGTGTAACCGATTCGCAAGATACAACGCACACATCTCGGTTTCAAGAATATAAGATGTTATCGTCTCACCAATCACTCGTGATACAATTCATGGAGTGATCCAAGTGAGCGTGGGTTTAATCCAATGCTCAAATCACATTCATAAGCACTCATGAACGTTGCAGCAAACATTTGCTTATGTCTAATACTCTTTTAGACAATCTACACACCAATTCATGACAATCTTTATTCATACCTACTTCCAACGTATGAATGATTGTGGCCCGTTCGAATAATTCGATTATTCTTAATAAACTCAATTATTCTGGAAGTCAAAACATGCAAAGGTGAAACACAAGAATAATACTAATCCCATATGGCCTCAAACCTTTGAGTATAATAAAACGCCTTTTATTTATCACCATATTGATTACTCATTATTTGTCGTTTCGGGTAATCAACTTCTTACTTGAATTATTACACTTGTCCCATGCACCTAGCATGCACACAATGTTTACCTATGATTCTTACTTTTGT